GTCTGAACTATCTCTTCAATCTATTGGTCTAAAGTTTTTTGTCTGACCTTTCAGTTACAACTTTGATCTCATTTTGTTTCAGGTGTGGCCTAATCTAGTTTTTTTTTATTGATTCATGACATTTGCTTTTCATGGATGCTCTTTGGAAAGGTAGTATGGGCTTGATGGGCAAAATGGCCTGCTTCCACACTGTAGGGATTCTGTGATTCGAGATTCGAGGCTGGCGTTGTCCTTAAGAAGTGAGCTACTTTCTTGTACCCACTGACGTCTACATTATGTTCGAAGGGAGATTGGGGAAGTTGACTCAGTGTCGGTGAAGGAATGGCGATGTATTTCCAAGTCAGATGGCCTTGGAGTGGAACTTGCAGGTGGGTGGAGTTCCCATGATTTTGCTGCACTTGTCTTCCTAAGTGGTAACGGTCATGGGTTTGGAAATTGCTAACAGTAGACCAAAATGTTCGAGGATGGAGAATCAGAAGATGGGGTCAGTTTTTTGGTTGATTGTGGAAGCATTGAGTTTACAGTTTAGAAAGGATTTTTCTCCCCACTTTCCCCAGTACTGGAGAGCCAGGGATGCTCTGTGATCTGAGCTAAGCCACTAAATGGGAGGTTACGGCCTAGTGGTATTATCACTAGACCTTACTAACCAGAGCTCTAGGTAATGCTCTGGGGACCTGGGTTCAAATCCTGCTAGGGCACATGGTGAAATTTGAATTCAGTGAAAAAAAAAAAAATCTGGAGCTAAGAGTCTAGTGATGAGCTTGAAGCTATTGTTGATTGTCAGGAAAAACCCATCTGGGGGGGTAGGGAAGGAAAATGCTGGTGTAAATGTGACTCCATGTGGTTGATTCTTCTGTGCCAATAAATGTCAACTTAGCTAGTGACCCCTACATCCTGTGAATGGATGAAAGAAAAAGGCTTACTATTGATTTCCATGACATGTGCCATATCATCAAACAAAATATCAAGCCAACTTCACATGGCTCACAATGCCACCTGTTTTATCATTCTCTGGGTTGCTGCAACAACATGTGAGATTATTCTGTGTGACAGAGAAAAGGTGCGCCTGGAAAATGGAAGATCATTATTGCACTATACCTGGTTGATTTGAATTAACATCGTCCAGTCCTTGAAGGCAGAGGGAAATCACTGGACTTTTACACCGGCACAAAAAAACAGAACGAGCAATTGCAACATATTCTGAGCAGAGCATGAGAAACTGGGAAACTTTGACCAAAAGATCAGCTCCCTGTGCGCTGAAGATGAATGTGTGTCAGCAATTGCTGTTCATAATATTTTGATCTCGAGAGAGAGAACCTCACGGTGTGAAGCTGAGAATGGATGGTCTGAAATGAGGAGGCTTTTGGAAACTGGAAATACCACATGCAGTCCCCACTTACAGTTTCTGGATCCTGCTTTAACTCTGCCAGGAAAAGCAGACTTGATGAACAAACATTTTCTGAAGAAGGGTCTCGGCCCGAAACGTCAGCCTTCCTTCTCCTCTGATGCTGCTTGGCCTGCTGTGTTCATCCAGCTCTACACCTTGTTATCCCTTGATGAACAAACTATTTTGCTCTGGACTGGAATGACAGTTTGTCTCCAATCTGGTCCTCACTGACACCAAATGAAGAAATGTGACAACTCAGCTCACAAGGAGTGTGAGCAGATCCATTGCAGAATGAGTTCCTCTGATTGTTGTCTGTCTCTTGCTGATAGACTACATTCCATTGACTGTAAAAGAGACAGCCTGAACAATTCCCACACTTCAGGGTGACCAACCGTCCTACATTTTGCAGACTTGCCTGGCAAGTTTCCAATTTGTCCTGCTTCCCAGATGTTGGCTTGTCAAAATGCCAGTTGTCCGGTATTTTATCAGAAGCTGTCTGGGAGGCTGCTGGGAACCACCTCCAGCTACTGCCTTTGGGTCTTGGTTTTTAGTGGATGTTCCCTTACTGCTGTTAGCCATTCAGCCAAGAATTCTAATGTCCATAAAACACAGGTTCAATGGTTAATTTGAGGTCTGAAATTTGTTGTAGGACTCCAGAACAGTTTTGGATATCAATGACACTGCTCAGCTGGAATGCACAGAGCAACAGTTGTCACTTAATGGCCCTCACATTACTTAAAGTTCAAACTTGGATTTCCTATCACTCACACACTAATTTTCTCCCTCCAGCTACTCCCCTATCCCTCACCATCTCACACCCTCCAGTTTCTCCCTACCACTCACCATTTCTCACCCTCTAGTTACTCCCCTACCACTGACATCCTCCTTCCCTCTCACTTGTGGTCACCATGCAACTTCTCACTGCCCTCTGTCTTCTCCATCTCCCTCTTATTCGTACCTCCACCTCACTTGTCATACATCTCCTGGCACCTCCCTCCCTCTTGCACATTGTTTCTCTCCCTCCTCCTGCTCACTGTCTCCCTCCCTCTTGTTCACTCACTCACTCCCTCCCTCCCTCCGTCCTGCACACTGCTTCTCCCCTGCTCACTGCCTCCTTCCCTCTTGGTCACTGTCTCTCTCCCTCCCTCCTGCTCACTGCCTTGTCCCCTCCCTGCCTCCTTCCCTCCTGCTTACTGCCTCCCTTCCACCCTCCTGCTCCCCAGTCTATGTGGTAGAAGTGAATAGGGAATTATGATGTAGTTAGATTACGAATGATAAGTGAAGGTTTAAGGGACGTGTAAACACCAGCATTATAAGTAGAATAATAGAATCATACAGTATAGGAGAGGCCCTTCAGCCCATCAATTCTGTACTGCTAAAATATACCACTGCTTACAAATCCCACTTTCCTACCCTAGGTTCATAGCCATGAATATTATGACACTGCAAGTGCTCATCCAAGTACTTTTTAAAGGTTATGAGTTTACCTGCCTCAACTACCCTCCCAGGTAGTGCCTTCCAGAACCCAACCACCCTCTGGGTGTAAAGGTTGAACTGAATGCAATTGTTTCTGTGCTGTCTGTGCCATATAACCTTCTGTAGCACTATTTGGAACATTTAAACATTGTTGGTAGATGGATTTTAGATTGATTTCAAGTATGTTTGAAGTAATTAATGAATATTTACTTAGTTTGGTATTTATTTAAATTCAAGCAAAATACTTTGGATACCGAAGATCTGAAGCATAAACACATTGCTGGGGAAACTCAGCAGGTGTGGCAGCTTCTGTGGAGCGAGAAACAGAGTTAACATTCTGAATCTAGTATGACTCTTCTCTGGAAGGAGTCCCAAAGACTGGAGTTGAAACACCAACTCTGTTTCTCTCTCCTCCGATGCTGCCAGACCTGCTGAGTTTCTCCAGAACTCTTTGCGTTTATAACTATTTGAGTATGATTAATTGTGTGGTGTTCAATTCTGGAATCTAGATTATAGAAAGGATGTGATAGCACCAGAGAGGACATTTACCTGGATGTTGCCTGGGCTGGAGAGTTTCAGTTATGAAGAGAGATTGGACAGACTGGGATAAAGAAGAAGCACCCAAAGAACTTTGGATGCTGGAAATCAGAAATACAAACAAACAGAAATTGCAGGAGAAACTCAGCAGGCCTGGCAGTATCTGTGGATAGAGAAGGAGAGGTGTAATTGAGGTAACTGTGAGGGCTAGTGAGCCTGTAATTGATGTTGGTGGACAGAAGTGGAAACAGTGAAGTCAAGGAAGGGTAGGTAAGACTCAGAGATGGACCCAGGTGAAGGTCAAAGACAGATGGGCATTGGAAGCAAAACTGATGAATTTTCTAATTCCGGATGAGAATCGGAAACGGCACTGAAGACATCATCAGTGTATCACAGAAAGAGTTTGAGATAGGAGCCCGAGTAGGACTGGAACAAGGAGTGTTGCATGGACCAAACAAAAAGACTGGCATTGCTGGCACCCATGTGGGTACCTATAACTATAGCTTTCACCTGGAGAAAATAAGGTGCGTTGAAGAACTTGTTCAAAGTGAGAACAAGCTCGACTCAGCAAAGGAAGGGGATGAAGACTGTGCAGATCTCTTTTCAAGGAAGAAGCAGAGAACCTTCAAACCGTAGACATCTAGAAGGATTGCACATCCATGTCGAAGAAGAGGCGGCTAGGACCAGAAAACTGGAAATTTTGGAACTGCGTAAAAGTGTTAGAAGAATCATGAATATACATGGGATGACGCTGAACGAGGAGAGATAAAGTATAGAATCAAAATAGGAAGAAGAAGGAGATTGAGAGGAGCGGGAACAGGCTGAAATGATGGGTCATTCCTGTTTGGGGATTTTGGGAAGGAGGTAGAAGCGGCCTGTACGGTGTTCAGGGGATAATAAGGCAGGAGGCTGTGGAGGGGAGATCTCCAGAGGAGATGAGGTCAGTGACGGTGCTGGAAACTGCAGCCTGATGTTCAGAAGGTAGGGTCATGCTCCAGGGGAGATGGGCGGAAGTGTCTGAGAGTTGTCGCTCAGCCTCTGCCAGATAGAGATTGGCAACTCCAGACAATAACCGCATCCCCCCCCTTACTGGCAGGTTTGGTAACAAAGTTGGGCTTAGACCTGCAAGGATGGAGTGCAGCAAGTTCAGAGGGAGATGAGTTAGGGTGGGGGAGGGGAGCAGAGAAATTGAGTCAACATCATGTTGGCAGTTCTCAGTGAAGAGATCGAGTACAGTCAAAAGGCCAGAAGGAATAGTCCAGGTGGAAGGGGACGTATTGGAAATGGGTAAAAAGAGTTGGTTGACTGGGGAGAGGTGTCCTGTCCAAAAAAAGTGGGCATGGGGGTGGTTACAATGGAAAATAAGTTCAGCGTTACTCCATACTTTGTAATGTCTCACCTATTAATTAATCGTATTTGGCAACCAGACATAGCTTATTGGAACAATGAGAACATTGGTCAATGTAGTGTGCCACAAAATGGGACCCTCAGAAAGGAATCTTTCTGACTGAGTCATAAGAGGACTTTGGCTGTTGGCAAGAAGAAATATGCTTCGCTAAGGAGTAGATAAGACAATTTGTGCACTATAACCACAACTCACCAGCCTGAACGTTGTCTGCCAATAATGTACCTTTTTCAGTCTGGAAGGATTGTGACAAAGTCCTTTCTCAGATTCTGAAAGTTTCAAAAATGAGGAATGATTTTAGAATGCCTGAGCTTGAATTGTCAACCAGAAATACTGTTGATCCAAATGTTTACAAACATAAATCAGTGATAAAACATTATAACTGGGAATACAATCATTTTTTTTCTCCAAATACTATATCTTCTAAATTTCCACTTCCAAAGTACTCTACAGAAACATGAAACCACGAGTGGTTTGGACCTACTTGAAACATTTCTGGAGCTTTGGTGGCTCTGAACAGCAGATTTCCAGAATAGACAGGTTGCAGTTCATTAGTGAGGATGCTACACAGAAATGCACTTGTCAAATTGCTGATTATATTTTGCAGGAAATAAGGTGAATTCTCCAGCCTCATGTCACACATGTATAATATCCACAGTGAAACAAACACAGCCACTTTCACAGACTTGCTGGATTCTCAGAGGTACAGGCTGCAACTCGTGGGCACATTTGTTCCGTTCACTTGTTCCCAAAGAATATTGCCTCAACTATTCACAGGAGGGGCTTCTAACCCCTCAGTGTGCAGATTAATAGCACGCAGGCTATACTTGATCTTCTGGATACTTTCCCTTTGTCTTTTACTGTGAGAGACCTGGTCTTTCATTACATGTGAGCAGTAGGACTGTGATAAAGTACAGTCATCTACAAAGGTGGCACTGGAGCTGATTGCTGCCTCACAGCGCCAGGGACCCAGGTTCGATTCCACCCTCGGGCGACTGTCTGTGTGGAGTTTGTACATTCTCCCTGTGTCTGCGTGGGTTTCCTCCGGGTGCTCCGGTTTCCTCCCACAGTCCAAAGATGTGCAGGCTAGGTGGATTGGCCATGGGAAATGCAGGGTGATGGGGATAGGGTGGGGTGCTGGGTCCGGGTGGGATGCTCATTTGAGTGTCGTTGCAGACCTGATGGGCTGAATGGCCTCTTTCTGATTGATTAATCAGTCACTGAGCAGGCCATCATGCACCTTGCTGCTGCATGGACAGATCAGATGATGTAATCTCCAGACAGGATGACACAAATAATTGTAGCCTACTTCCCTCCATTGCTCAAGACGGGCTGAACTTTAGAAATTAGAAGCAGGAATTGGCTATTCAGCCCTTTGAGCTTACTCTCTCATTCAACGTGATCACGGCTGCTTCTTTATTGCAATGCCACAGCTCCTGCTTCCTCCCTGCTTGATACCTCTAATAGCAAAACATTAATCTTTCTTGAATGTTTGCTTTGCTATTGAGGAGGCTCTGTATCTGTTGGAACTGGCCTTGCCTGGAGACACACAGAGAGAACTCCTTCATTATTGTATTAAGGGCTTTGAACACATATCATTAACTATCCTTTGTGTAACATTCTCAACAATCTTTACTGGTTGCTTCCCTATCTTCCACTTTACAAAAAAGAACATTCAATCCAATTTCCACAAAATGTTTGTGAATAAGCTGTTTTTGTCACTGCTTGAGCTTTATAATTTTAACAAAAATAATCAATGTACCCTTTCTTTTGTAGCTGCAATTTGCAGAATCAAAATCGACTGTGACATCACCTTAGGTTCTTCCTTGACTACAAGCTTGCAAATTTTTCAGAGAACTTTACGTTAGTTTGTTTCATAATCATCCAGGTTTAGTCATCCAATCTGCCAAGGAATTAAAGTTCAAACAGCACACAGACACAAGGCAAAGAATAATTCTTAAATAGCAAATTAAAAGATAAGGTTTATTTATTTGTAGAAGGAGAAATGTATTCTAATCAATGCAACAATGGCACCCACAATATCTATTGAGAAATCCAGCTGATAGGAAATGCATTTTTAAAAATGTTTATGGACAATTGTCCTTTCCAAATTCTGCCTTGAAGTGTTGTTATGGACCAGACAGATTACCTGAAAACACTTTGAGGAGGTAACTTAGACCCTAACATTTTCTTATTTTAAAGGCAAAAGTAAAGTGTCTGTTCCACATACAATACAACTGGTCAAACAACTTGACGTTAAACATAACACAATTTATTTAAACATTGCAGTTAAAAATACAAAAAAAGAGGACTTTAGAATAACTTAACTCTATTGGAAAACATAACAGAATAATAGATACCATACCTGTTGCTAACTAACTGTTCCAATATAGTAACATCCCATAAACACACCCCTTGGCAAAAAGGAAAATTCAGACACAGATTCTTAGATGCAGTTCTCCCATCCAGGAGAAAGAAACATCGAGAGAAAATTCAGAGAGTAGCAGTCAGGAGATATTCACTGAAGCTTCCAACTCTTGAGACCCCAATAGCTCCTGATATGACTAAGAAAACTAAAACCCAGAAATCCTGATTCGAGAGAGCTGGCCACACCTATTCAGGCTGTTAAAACAGCCTGAAGTCTCCCAAGCTGTTTACTCAAATGGTGTTAACTAGTCAGCTCGGTCTCTCTGCCTTATGACCTCCTTCAAATAAAAGGACAAAATAACATCATCACAGTATTCAGTATGAGATTAGATGCTAAGCAAAGGTGTTGCTAGGACCCATTGTCCTCTGAATGATCAACACCACATTTCAGACCATTTCTGTGTGATTACCTGAGTCAATTTAATTATTGTTCTGTTTTTGTTAAGAATTTGACTACAAGTGTATGTTGCCCTCTTGACTGAACAACATTTCTCACCTGCCTTTATATAATTGTAGATTGTTCTATTTCTTGAAAAGTTTTAAGATCAGAGACAGCTGTGCACAGAATACCTGATTTTGAAGCTCATTACAGCAACAATTTAGTACTGTTCAAACATGGGTCAGAATTTTGCCCTCCCTAGAGGTGGTAGAAGGGCAAATTGGCTCCAGACAGATATCTGTCCTCTTTGCACCACTTCAGCACTCAAGATGTGGGTGGGAAGACCCAAGGTCAACATTGATGATCCACCAACAATTCAAATCCTTATCAGGTCTATTCATAACAACTTAAGGGTCTCAAGTTGTCTCCAGCTCTGTGTACCTCCTAGCCCAGCAGGCAAGAAAGGTCAGTATTCAGGTGCCTAATTGGCGATTGATCCAGTTAGACTTCTCACGTGGGGGAAGGTGGCTTTGTTGTAAGTTATCCACAGCTGTTTGAGGGCTTTGTTAGTTAGACAGCTGCCTTGGAACAGATTGGTACGAACAGCATGGGTTTTGATCTATGATCTGACTGTGGGGGATTTGAGAAATACTTAGAGTCTTACGATCAGGTTTAACTTTATGCAATTCTTTTGGCCAGCATCATATTTTGCACAAAGGTTTTGTGTAGCTAAAATTCAACAAGCTGATTCACTGAAGATTTGTAACATGTATTCGTTTCTGGCATTTACCTACCTTGCTTTGTTAATGCCAAATTGCTTGCCAGATCACTGTCCTGGCTCTTTAGGAGGTAAAAAATAGAGTTCCTGTACAATTTATATTCTAGGAAGAATACATTTCAAAGTACTTTTATGTTTCCTCTTTGATTGTTTTTGTATTACTAGGAGATACAGTGTTCACACTGGTATATGAAGCTTTGCACTGTGGAATTGTTCATATTAGAACATAGGACTGCACAGCACAGGAATGGGCCATTCGGCCCACGATGTTGTGCCGAAAATGACTCCAAATTAAATTAATCCCTTCTGCCTGCTCTCGGTCCATTTCCCTCCATTCCTAGCATATTCACGTGCTCAATAAAAGTCCTCAAAATGCCCCTATTGTATCTGCTTCCACCAGTACAAAATAGATGTTCAAAAATAGGAAAAGATACGTGAATGTTTTACACAGTTAAAAAAAAAGGTTTTGTCTTATCATTCAAGTTTCAGGCAGCTCAACATGTTGTTTGTAAACATAGTATATTTTTCTATAGCTAATAAATCATTCAAATAGTTCTGTTCTTGCAGCATAAGTGATCATGAGGCAATGGTTAGATAGAGGTAATGGAATGGCGATAGCATTCTCATGGCCCATGTTAATTCTGTATGGGACATAGGCTCAAATCCTACTACAGCTTATGAAGCTTAATTTGGAGTTTAAAATATCCAGAATTGAAATCAGGTCTTATTAATGGTAATTATCATTTATTGTTATAAGAAGTTATCTGATTCTTTTGGGAAGAAAATTTTTTAGCCTACATGTGACTCCAGACCGACAGAAATGTGGGTGATAACTGCGATCTGAAATGTACTGGGAAAGCACACAGTTGAAGGGAAATTAAGGATGGGTAACATCCCCCCCTTGCTATTCCCCATATTAAAGCATAAAATAAAATTCCAATGGTTCTTGACAACCCACAGCCTTCAAACTCATTTGGTCCTCAGGTGTGACAAAAGAATTTCCATTCTAAATGCCTCAAAAAAAAGGTTAAACATATTCATGTCATACTGAATGGAAATCTGATATCAGTCAGATGCAATCCTCACCTGCTGACCTCGTATGGGGGACACTAACTTCGAATGGTAGGTAATACTTTACCAGTTTGGTAGCATTTTGTTTAAGTTTTTCCTTAAGTCAGTCTCACAGAACTGTCAATATGCAGCAGGAGGCAATTTGGCCTATTGATGCTCTCTGAGCATCCTGACTTAGTGCCAAAATCCTGCATTCATGCTTCAGTTATCCAGGCATTAGTGAGACCACATTTGGAGAACTGGGCAAAGCACTGGTCACCGTTCTTATTCAAGAATGTTACTGTATTGGGAGCAGTTCAGAGATGGTTTACTAGACCAATACCTGGAATAAGTGGATTGCCTTATGAGGAAAGCCTAGACAGGCTAGGCCCGTATCCTCTGGAGTTTAGAAGAATCAGAGGTGATTTAATTGAAACAGATAAGATCCTGAGGGGGGCTTCACCCTGTGGAGGTTAAAAGGATGTTTTCTCTTGTGGGAGAATCCAGAACTCTGGGTCATAGCTTAAACATAAGGGTTTGATCTTTTAAAAGAAAAATGAGGAAACATTTTTTCACTCAGAGGGTTGCAAGCCATTGGAATTCCTTTCCTCGGAAGGTGGTGGATGCATAATCTTTGGATATTTCTAAGACAGAGAAATAGATTCTTGATTGATGAGGGAATGGAACATTATCAGGGATATGCAGGAAGTAGGGTTGAGGTTAAAGTCAGATCAGCCATGACCTTATTGAATGACGGAGCAGGCTTGAAGAGCTGAGTGGCCTACTCTTGTTCCTCATTCATTGAAAATATAGTAGAAAAAAGTTAGATACGCTCAGCAAGATTCTCTTTATTTAATCCTACGTGAGATTGATCATTAATGGTGGCAATGCAAATTTGTAATTCTATGCAAAAAATTCATTTCGATATCATGGTCGAGAAATTGAATTATGAAATGTGCAGTTAGCCCCAGCCACAAATAATACCACAACTGTTCATTTTAGTAGCCAGAAAAATACATACCCTATACAAGTTAGCAGTCCACAACTGACTCTATTGAACTAAACTGGCCCATTTCCACAGGAAATGCCAGATAAATAGGGATCCATGCCTTTTGATGGCACCTTGAGTTGGCCCATCCCTGACTTAATATATTTAATGATAGGCAGATCATATTAAAGTGCATTAGGGTAGTAGGACAGAGTGCAGAATGCAGTGTTGATTTTGGTTTTTTGATTTTATTGTCACGCATACTCAAGCACAAAAGTACATGTTTACAGTGAAAAGTGAATAATGTCTCACTGATGCCTTGTAAGCGACACTTCCTACTTTTATAATTATCCCTTCAGCAATAAATGCCAAAATTCAATTTGCCCTCCTTATTACTTTCTGTACCTGCATGTTAGTTTTCTGTGATTCATGCATAAGGACACCCAGATCTGTCTGCACTAAACCACTCTGAAGTTTCTCTCCATTTAGATAATAGGCTGCCTTTCTATTCTGCTGACCAAAATGGATAATATTGCACTTGTCCACATTAAACTTCATCTGCTAACTTTTGTCTTTTCACCTAATCTATCCATATCTATTTGTAAATATCGTATCTCTTTATTGCAACTTACATTCCCACCTATTTTAGTGTCACCTGCAAATTTGGCTACAGTACATTCTTATTCCCTCATCCATGTTATTAATATAGATTGTAAATATTGGGACCTAATAATCAAACCCCGTGGTACTCCACTTGTTATAGCTCGCCAACCAGAAGAAGACCCATTTATCCTGACTCTCTGCTTTCTGTTGGTTAGCCAATCCTCTGTCCAAGCTAATAGAATCATAGAACCCTTGCAGTGTGGAAACAGGCCATTCGGCCCAACAAGTCCACACCGCCCCTCCGAAGAGCATCCCACCCAGATCCATTATCCTACCCCTGATTTCCCATGTCTAACCTACCTAACCTAAACATCGCTGGGCACTATGGGCAATTTAGCATGGCCAATCCACATACCCTGCACATCTTTGGACTGTGGGAGGAAACTGGAGCACCCGGAGGAAAACCACACAGAAACAGGGAGAATGTGCAAACTCCACACAGACAGTCGCCTGAGGCTGAAATCAAACCTGGGATGAATTACCCCAAACTCATGTGATCTTACCTTGTGTACTAACCTTTTGTGCAGCACTTTATCAAATGCCTTCGGGAAGTCCAGATATATCACATCTATAGGACCCCCATTATCCACTTTACTTGTTCCATCTTTGAAGAATTCTAG